AGACGTTAAAGAATTTCAAAGAAGTACAAAACTCTAAACTCCTTCAAAGTTGGATCTTAAGCTTCAATGCGCTTGTCGTAGCGCACCAACCACTTCGCGATGACGTCATGGAAGTCATCCAAAGTGATTGTCTCCCGAACCATTGTCACAGCTTCCTTCATCTTCTCAATTTGTTCAAAACGAATGCAATGGAGAATATTCTTCAGTCTGGATAATTATCAAAAGTCACAGAGAGCAATGTCTGGAATGTTAGGAGGTTGAGAGACAGTTTTGATGACCATCTACCAACTATCTACTTGCCTAATTCCTGCTGTTTTTCACTGTGAACAAATTTGCTACAAATGTCGTGCATGTTCTGCTCTTCATGAATAATTCTGTCTGCAGCTGCAAGACCAACTCCAAACTCAATGCTTATTGTCTTCAAAGACACATGACGGTCTTCAACCACAAAACTGCGGATTTTCTCAACCATCTCTGATGGTCTGACGTTCATTTTTACATTGTCTCCTTCTCACATCGCTCATTCATCGTCTCTAATATCTTCTTCACCGTCCTTGAACCACTCTTCCATCGGAAATGAAATGCTCGGGTCAGACAAACCAATCTATAAGCAGTCTAGATCATTTCATAAGTTTCTGTGGATTCTTTTCCCAATTTAGCACAAATTTCTATAGCATAGCGATCATCCAAATTGTCTTCACGTCCTGACTGCATTCTGCAAACTTGTCCGCTATGACGATATTCAGCCACGAGGGTGTCATGTGGCACAAGGCCTTTTTAACGTGGGCATTCCGTAGCCTCCTTCGGGTTCCTACCGTCCGTAGGAAGAGAGTACAACCGAACAGTCGCTCAGAAAGTATGCTATGACAATGAGTGTTTAGTAAGGTTTGTTCAAAGAGTATTTCTAACCATCTCTTTCAATGCTGAAAAACAAAAGTTGACTAGTCAACTTATTAGATATATAGTATAGCTGGCCACTGATATTTGGATACCTGTCTACTAGGGTGGCTAGTCAATCCCTATTGCAGACGCTTGCTCAGACGCATTTGGATTTATTCTTAACTCTCACATATTAGTAGTTAGATTTCATTCTACTTAATTTCACTCACAACCCATGGTATGGTCTTCAGGCACTTGAAAGCTCGACCCCTCCAGTCCGATAAGATATCTCTTTCCTGGCAAATTGACCATAGTGAGATTCGAACCCGAGTCTCATGTTCAGAATGCGAACGTTCTAGAACCTCGGCCACGTGCCCATATAAATGTAATCATATACTAAAACTACAATAATTTAGAAAAGTTATAATTTCCTCTCCAAAAATGTCTCAAAACTTCTTGCATGTCCATCGTATGTAATTGAATAAAACATAATTGTACTTTATCTTTTGAAAGATAAATTTGATAAATAGTATCAGAATTTATTTATCACTCAACCTTAAATGAGTCCATCAGTAATTCGACAATATAATAACGCAAATCTAAAGCAGCAATCACAGAATAATTGCAACAAATCTCCTCTTGTTAATTGACATTAACACATTTCGAAACGACACCTGACTGGACGCTATAACTCGCTAACAATCATGAGAAAAGTTTCTTTAAAAATACATCATTGAAGCAACACTTTTTCATTTTAAAGCAAATAAATACATAAACATTTTCGGTCAAGGGATAAACTCTATTCACGTTCAAATATCACGTCTTGGTCATTTGAAAAGGCGTAGAGGTTTATTCCTTTTTCCTCTTCAGGATCGGGATTCTGGTTCCTTCGATAATCTTCTAATTCTCTTTCACACCCAGTATCCCCTTTCGTCTTAGTGGCATTATCACCTTACTCGGGGTGAATTGATAAGAATATAAAACAAGATGAAATCAGCTTACTGATAAAAGTGGATGTGCAGATACAAGAATAAACGATTTTAAAAACACCTAAGAACAAAAATATTTACATAGGCAATATGAACTCAATGATTATGTAAACAACAATCTTTCTGTTCATGAAGTATACTGGTCTATAACAGAAGACAGATGTATTTCTAATGTCTGCACATGACTAATGACTTTTCACCATGAATCAAAGACAAATATAATGAAAAAAATATTTATAAAGAAGCAGTACGAAGATTATGGTAAAACAATTTGAGATTATTCCTCATTTAGTGTCTGGTGGTCCAATCCTGACGTGAAGGAATACAAGGATCGGTATGATACACTTTGGAAGATAAGATACGCCCCCCCCCCATGAAGAATAAAGCAGGTTGATTTTTCCACGTTGTTTATAAAATCAACATTGAACTTGATGCGAAAGCTGGGGTTTTGTGTGCTAAGTAAAGACAGCAACATTTAGATTCATAGATTTTACATAGCGACATAGCTTTTGCATAGTTACATAGCTCTTACATAGTTACATTGCTGTTACAGAGTTACAAAGCTGTTACATAGTTACATAGCTGTTACATAGTTACATATTTGTTACGTAGTTCTATAGTTTCATAGCTGTTACATAGTTACATATTTGTTACGTAGTTACATAGTTTCATAGCTGTTGCATAGTTACATAGTTTCATATCTGTTACAGAGTTACATACTTGTTATATAGTTTCATAGCTGTTACATAGTTTCATATGTGTTACATACTTACATAATTTCATTGCTGTTAGTTACATAGCTGTTACACAGATATATATTTTCATAGCTGTTACATAGTTACATAGCTGTTACATAGTTACATAGTTTCATAGCTATTAAATAGTTATATAGTTTCATAGCAGTTACATAGCTGTTCCATAACCACATAGCTGTTACATAGATGTTGCATCGTCACATAGCTGTTATATACCTGTTACAACTGTTACGTAGGTGTTATATAGTTGTTACATAGCTTTTTCTTGGCTGTTACTTAGCTGTTACATAGTTACATAGCTGTTACATCGCTTTGAGCACTTAATGCTAAACACCACCGGAAAAAAATGTCCAAAAATACGTAATTTCCGCAGGCATTTGTCTAAAGCTGAATTCAAAAGTTTACTATTTCAAGAATAAAGCCAAATAACGCGGATATTTTTGTGTTAGATACAGTGGATGAAAAATATATTCAAACCAGAATTCTAATTATGAATCACGACAAGTAAATATACATTTTTTTTATTTTATTCGATAAGTAAAAACTGTGTAAAATGAATTGTAAAAGATCACAGAAAAAGCTACTCAATGAATAAGATTTGTTAGATGATAATAAAAACAAAAAAAAAGGAATAAAAGTTTATATAACACCATAATACTACTGGGCATATATTATAAGACAAAATGTTTTAAATCTATATTTTTTTATTGAAAATCATACTAAAACTAATGCATTGTATAAAAAATTACATCATATTATAGCTAAATATTTCAGTACAATTTCCCTTTGAAGGTTTTATTTGATGGCACAATTGTTTAGTAACTATGTGTTTGTAACATAAATCTTGTCCATATACAATATGGCTGTGCTATAAGGATTTCACTGATGACCAGAATGAAATTCAAACGCTACGATGTTGAACCTAAAATTAATTATTAGACTCATTTACTCGATAAGTAGTTGGAACAAAATATTTTGTGTTGTTATTTATCATTTCAACTTTCAAATCAAGTGCATTGCCACGGTTTGTAAAAAGTACCTGCCTTAATGAATAATAGTGAAACACACTTAAAATGTGAGTCAGCTGACCAGAAGTTGCAAATTGCTAGTTCAAAATGAATATACGAGGCTCTATGATAAGTTATGTCATCATGCATTAAGAGTGTGCAAATGAAAAGACTAAAAACTTTAAAGTTTTTTTTTTCCATTTTACCGAAGTAGACATTAAAAACAAGCAACATTATCACCTCTTTCTTTCTTTCTGTTTTTCTTTCTTTCTATTGCTCATTAAAACCAAACAGCATCTCTGATATGTTTTTTCCCTCTTTCCTCGCAATCACAATGGAATAGTCCATTATTTATTAGGAATCGGTAGGGTGTAACGATTGTGCTAACGAAATAAATAAGGAACTAAAAGGTGATAATTAATAAACTATCATACAAAAATTCTATTCAAACCATGTGGGGGGGTAGCTGCATCTGAAAAATGTGAAAGTCTTCTTTAGAAGAGATTCAGCTATCTATATATAAAATTCTGCGAGTTCTGTTAATCCGTCCGCTCGTCACATTCTCTAAAATAACCATATATTGACCGATCGAACCAAACTCTTGGAGAGAAGTGTAAACCAGTAAGGGGTACAGATTACAATTAGTTTTACTTAGCTTAGTACAATAAATTTTCATTTAATCTTTAGAAAAATTAAATGTTTTATTTAATATACAAATACCCTTACTATTTTAAAAACAATTTAATGATAAAAACTAACGAATACTTATTTAAAAAATGCAATATTGTTTTTTTGCGTATCTTCTTAAGTTTTTATATACAAGAATCCAGTTTCCGGTTCGCCCTGCGGTTGTAAGAACAATAAACAAATCACAAGGCCAAACGCTCCAAACCTTGGAATTTGATGTTGCATGCTCAAGAGTAAGAAATCTTAAATATTTAATCTTCACTATTAAAAAGCTAAAAAAAAAGAAATTGTCTTTAAAAATATTTTGTTACCCATGAAGCCCTATAAAATTATTAAACCGCGAACTAGGAGTTTTGTCAAAGTATTTTTCCAAACAAATCAGCTTATTCAAATTTTATCGATTGGTTTGCGAAATTGAACGAAACGTAGAATTTGTAAATTTCAGCAAAATACGTTAGTCATAACTTTAGCAATACTAAATACCATGAGGATTTGAACATGTGTCAGCCTATTGCAAAAACAAAAAACTTTCTGATAACGAACTGGGTAACAGAATACAATTAACATGATTTTGCCAACCGTTCATTCCACCGACAAATAGTGTTTGATTGATAATTTAGTATTGAGTTAGATTCTCACGTGTCTTCTATACTTATAAGCTTTGTGTCAAATTGTACTAAAGCATGCCAACGAAACCTGTGAAGTCGCCGTTAGGATTGTTAGTAAAGTAAAACTTGATTTAAAATGAAGACTATGCTGCCAGGCGTCAAGTGTAGAGAAGCAATAATGAAATGTGCAAACTATGACCATTAGTAATTGAATTTTCGCCGTTTAATGTGTACTGTTGCAGTAATGCTGCAAAGTGTTATACAGTTCAGTTAGTAAATACCTACCGCTTCTCTAAGACTTCTCCTACCAATTTCACTTTGTATAAGTGGCAAGTCTTTCGAACTTAAAACCGGGGAGGGTATAAATTTTGCGTAAACCAAACGATTTGATCAATGAAGTTTCTTACTAGTTAAGAGAAAAGTAGACACACAGAGTCTTGCTCTCTCTTTCTCTTTCAGCAAAAAGATTAAAAGAAGAGAAAGTAATAGAAAGAGGAGAGAGAGGGGGAATATAAGGAGACAAGAAATGATCAAAAGGAGAAATAACGATGACATTCGACGGCTACACGCATGCGCACGCGATAATACTAATATAACAGAATCATCCACAAAAATAATGTTTATCATTAAGAAGAAACAAAACTCAATAATATTAACTACGAACACGGCCACAATGTGCTGACGGTGTTTAGAATATAGCACATTCCGGTAACTCTAGATACATATATAAAACAGTGTATACACTCAGTTAAAAATAAAATTAAATCCATCCTTGATAATGGCTAAAAGTATAGATGAATGCGCTTGAAAAACATTCGGTAATTTTTATATATCCTGAGAAGAAAAAAAATATCGAACATCCCCATATATATATATATATATATATATATATATATATATATATATATATATATATATATATATATATATATATATATATATATATATGTATATGTATATATATATATACGCACGCACACACACACACACACACACCCACGCACAAACACACACACACATATATATATATATATATATATATATATATATATATATATATATATATATATATATATATATATATATATATTCAGAGAGATAAATTTAACAGAGCTTTTTTTTCTTATGGAATTAATTAAATTAGAGGTTTCTCAAAATTTTAATCAATCAAGGTTTCTCCAATTCAATAATTACTAGAATCTGAACGACTTTAAATTAAACACTCGCTTGCTGCTGCTGCTTCTTCTTCTTCTTCTTCTTCTTCTTCTTCTTCTTCTTCTTCTTCTTCTTCTTCGTCGTCGTCTTCGTCTTCTTCTTCTTCTTCTTCTTCTTCTTCTTCTTCTTCTTCTTCACCCTTCTCTTTTTCTTCTTCCTTGTGTTTTTCTATAAATACTTTCATAGTAATTCTTTTAGGATGAACTCTTCATTATAATTTGTGTGTGTGTGGGGGGTTATTACTAATATTATTTTCTTTAGTTTCTTGTAAATAGTTTTGCTTTCATATTGTAAATACTCATTGGTTTTTTAGAATTGTTGTTTTATTCCCCTCCACCCACAGACAATGAATTGTACATATGGGGACTAGTTAGTATTTTCATAGAGACAATGTGGTATTATGGTGATTGTAGTAAGAAATATACGTAAGAATGTAATGTTTTGGCGTAAGGAATATTGTTTCTATGATTGGGTCAGTGTTTGTGACTAGGCAAGTTATCGTTAAGACAGAAGGAAACCGTCCTTTCTCCAATCTCCCTTCGGCCTTGTGCCACATTTCTGCGTACATAACAATAAATATTACACTGCATTATGGTACTTTGACTTTTAGAATTTAAGCGCAGTACTAGATTGACTTAAAAGTTCTCATCAATTTACAGTTGAATTGGCTTGATGTAACCGTTACTTCTATCGCACTTCTCGCTTGTGGACCTCTCTTCCAGCTCCAGTCTTTCCAGCCAATTTTGGTCTTCAAGAGTTTAAATGCAATGTCAGTCTTGATCTAATCTCTTCCAGATTACTCTTCTTTTGTGCCTCTCCTTAATAATGATTTTATTTTACTTATTCTTTCACTCTTGTGTCTTAGTGGCTTTACTGACTTTCATGTGATGGATTTAATTAAAACAAAAACAAAACACTAAGGCATTTATTGAGAAATGCATAGAACTCATCCATTGATAAATGTGAGGGAAAATTAGTCAGTTCGTTCTACCTCTACATAAAATACCTGACACCTTCTGCCATGCTTAATATGTACAAGAGTGAGATTAGAAATTCTGTTAACGAACTCTAGGTGGCGTTATATAAATCAATATATAACAATGTAGATGGCTGCACTATCTTTTTTCTTATTTGTACACATGATGTCGTAAAGATAAGCAATGTCTTGTTTTTCGCCCACGGGACTTCTTACTCACCAGCGAACCACGTGTCGAATTGTACACAGAATAAAATGTCCTAAACTCATGACAACAAAATCTCTTACGTCAATGTATATTTCTAATAGGAATTTACACACCGAATATAAGAATAAGGAAATCTCAGCATAGATATTTTTGTTTCTTCTTTATACATTCGTTTGTGTTTGGTTTGCTAAGGCAATAAAATGTCGTTATTTTTAGAATATAATATACGATTACTATCTGCTGTTCGATAACATATCCCATGCGATTATAGGACTATCAATAGTCGCAGATAAATAGCCACACGATTATGAAATATATCATAACTTTAACTGATCACCCGAAACAAAGTCTAGCGTTTCTAATGATACAACGTTGATTCTTTGCTGGGAATCTACTTTTGTACCACTTTGCGAGGTTATGGTAGACCTTATAAATATCGAAATGTCTGAATTCACATGCACAGTGAAATCCAATACACGTCTAGACAGATTAATGAAATTCGTGACGTCCATGTTGTTTTCTGTTCACACACAAGGCAAATAGCTGTTACTCGCTTGATGCATAATATATGGAAAAGTGTACGGCCAAGATGCACCTTCTGTTACATTTTCGAATCGAACCAGGAAGGTCACTTCATCCCAAGACCGCATCCAATTTGTCGCTGCCTTATTTTAGAATCACGAAAGAATGGAGTCAGACGCTGAAAGTGAAAATAAAATGTCTGCTTGTAATTCAAGCACAATGAATAATAGTCAGAAATAATTTTCTATCGATTAATAGTATTCGTTTATTGAGTACTTTCATTCTTTTTTTTCTATTCCCTTTTCTGGGT